GTAATAATGATATATTTCAATATTTGATTACACTGTTCGGAAACAACTGAAATATCGATCATCGAATATTATAATATTATTGCCGGACAATAACTTAACAACGAGCATTTTTAATACGATTTAATGTTCAAACCAAGACTTTAAATACTAATACTATATAATCCGTATTTTAAAAATAACATATGATTTAAACAAATGCTGAGAGCGCGCGTTCGTCATAGTTGGCGATTGCGACGTTGTCATGTCGCCGCGCCATACCGATATCGTCTTTGCAACRTCCTTGGACTTCTCGATGAGCCGGCGGCGTAGTGGTAAGCCTGTTCAGGGGTAAGAAAACGTGAAAAAACGACTTCGCGACCGATCATCACTGACTGTCTATAATAGACTCTATAGACCTATAGTCTATAATAGGCAATAGCCAACGGGCCACGACGTTTTTACCCTTCCAATAATTATTTCTATCGTCGATCGCCACTATTGTTATTTGTCATTTTTTTTGTACACTTCTTGTACACACTGTACTACCAACGATAAATACCGTATCCCCAACTCCGCGGAATTTCACCGTAATTCACAATCATCTTATTCTTGTGAGTCGTGACGTCCTTGTGCTATAATTATTATTAATTCCGCGTTCGTTGTTTCAGTTTTTTACTATTCAAGTTCGCGAGTTCGCCCAATCGCCAGTCTCTGCTCTCTTTTGTTGACGTCGCAATATCGTCGGACCTTGTCGTCTGAACGCTTTTGTTCAACTGCATACCATTTCCGAATCCTACCTTGTTTGCCGATTTTCGCCTTTAAACCCGCATCCGTCACAAGATCGCAAGCGGACATCTCGTCGTGTAGTTGAGTGGAATTCTAAGAGACCAGTCGTTAACACAGGAGATACGAACATACGCATGTCAATCCAGAATCTCAACGTATTCGGTAAGTACCGAAAAAAAATAGAATATTGTGACCTCGCTATCGTGTCTCGAAATCTTTTAAGTGGTGCCACAATAGACCAAGTCATTCGATTCCGATGCAGAAATTCAGTTTTTTTTCCGAAATATTCCAAATTTCAATCTWCCGTTAAACACAAACGGGCCACGGGCGTCGTTTCAGTTTCTTGGTGACACTCGTCACTGTATGTGAAGGCCGGTAGTATCTTACGACTTACATGGCCTTCGAAAAGAATAAATGAATTAAGTTCAGTTGCATCCTCGTTATGGGTGTCAGTTGACGTCATTAATTTTTTTGGCAATACGACTAAGAAAACTTTGATGTACATACAAGTACAGCTATCAAAATTACATTCTGATGAAACTTTTTTTTATACTTCATTTAAATAAAAAATAAATAAAACAACCAAGTTCTAGACTCTAGACAGCGTTAATATCATATATACTTATTGTGGTATGTTGTACAGATTGTGTATTTCAAATTGTAAAATAAAAAAAATAAAAAATTTTTATTTTATTTTAAAAGTTATAGACCATATTATATAATTTTTAATTTAACACTAAACACTAACCGACTATTTAAAAAATACAAACACTTCCTTTTTAATATATTTTATTACTTAAAAAAAAATACATGTTTTAAATTAATTAAGCCCAATTAAATCTGTATACCTAAGGTACATAAATCAAAATTAGTATTCATGCAATAGTAGATTGCAATTACATGCATAAAACGTTATATTTAGTTTAACCATAGGTACATCTTAATATGATACTCATAATTTAAATACTTTTTTAAACTACATAATCTATCTGTTTATAATATTAGGTATTATAACTACCATTATAAACTATAATTATTRTACATGCAATATTAGGTTAGGTTACAACATATGATGAAATTTAAAACATGCTAAGGCTAGTAACATAGTAAGTCAAGTCATAATATTTTTCACCAAAAAAAAAAAAAACTTGAAAATGTAAAACCATGGTTTCTTATTTACAAATATTTAATATAAGCTTTAAGCTTCATTGTCTATTGTTTTTTATAAATTTAAGTAGGTACCAAAAATTAATATAATTATCATTTATATTTTTTTAAATGATAAATTTTAACTTAAGATAACTACTGTGTGTATTAGTTTATACTTTCGTAATTTCATCTTAATATGAAAATAAAATATTAAATTATCTCATTTTGATTTTTTTTGTATTGGTTTGTTGATAGTTGACTATTGAATGTTTAAATAGCTTATTGAAGATATTTGATATTTTAGACCCGTTTGCTGATGCAATCAAGGGTGCAGACGATGACGTTCAAGACGGGCTTGTTCACATAAGAATTCAACAGCGTAATGGTCGTAAAACATTAACAACGGTTCAAGGTCTGTCGTCGGAATATGACTTAAAGAAGATTGTACGTGCCTGCAAAAAGGTAATAACTAATAAGTCATATCAAATATTTTTTATCCAATCTTAGCATTTATTTCATTGTTCTAAACRTAATTTGTTTTCTGTAACACTTCTAAAAGTTAAGAAATACAGACATAGGTACTATTTTTATAGATACCTAAATATAATATTCTATTGATTATTTCTGTTTTTTAACTTGATGTTAAACCATCAGTACAGTTTAAAAAAGTTTGTTCTTCTAAAAATAATTTTAACTAACCTTAAAAATAAAATAATTTTTATTACGTTTAATCAACATTTTTACCAAACATTGTTTAATGCACAATGCTACAAAAAATAACTTTAAAATCAAAGTAATTTTACAAATTGTTCATATTATATAAACTTATGTATTGTAGTTATTTTCCTATTAATATATTAGTTTAGTCACTAGCTAAAAATCACTTATGGATGGCTACTCTAATCATAATTTTAATGTTACACATTAATCTTATATAAACTTATTGTGCTTATTTGTATATATTGCTTATGTAAAATAAAAAAATRTAAATATAATTTAAATTATGAAATAATTCTAATATTTCAGGAGTTTGCTTGTAACGGTACAGTAGTTGAACATCCCGAGTACGGCGAGGTGCTACAATTACAAGGGGACCAACGAGAAAACATTTGCCAATGGTTAACTAAATGTGGTCTTGCCAAGTCTGATCAACTCAAAGTCCATGGTTTCTAAAACAATTTAAACATGCTACAAAATACTTTGAATTGTTAATGCAGGAACATCTCAGTCAAACAAATATTAATTAATTCAAAATTCATAATTCTCAATTTCATAACATGTTTTAATAAATGTAATATTAAATCCTAGTGATTTTTCAAATCTTTTAATTTTCAACTATGCAGATTTGAATTAGCATTAGTGTTATGTATATCAATGCTACTGACATATTTAGAGAACAATTTTTTTATTATATCCATAGTTAAATGATAAATATTAATTCTGTATTATACTTGAATTTCACATATTTAATGTAATGCGGGTGATATAAACATCATTATATATACCAATGGTAATTTAAAATATTAATTCTTTTATAAATGTATACATATTTTCTTGCATTTATAAACTGTGATTGTTTAACACATCTTAAATAAAATTTATTAAAAATATAATGATATATGTACTCATTGCAAACAAATGCAGTAAGTCCTAGTTTAACAATCATTAATAGGACTAGGAARTTGATGACCTTAAAAACATAGAAAAATGTCCTTAAAAATTACAAATATTAGTTTTAAATTAATAAAAATATTATTTTTTTTAATATTTTACTCTATTTTACTATCCAAGTTTTAAGTTATCGGCATAATGGAAGACAAGAAACAATAAGCGCTGAACTAGTGTGAAATCAATAGAAATGAATTAAAATGTAGAAAAATTACTTAAAAATAAACACCATAAAACGTTAAATAAAAATTAGTTGTTCAGATTCACATGCTAATGAAATAGATTTGTGGCCAGAAGAGCATTGTCTAAAAAGTTCCAAAAAAAAATGCAATATGCATTAACTTCTGAGCCTTAATCATAAATAAATATAACACTGTTAAGTTGAACTTTCATCAGTTTTGCTTTCATTACTTAATATTTTAGTCCTCATTTTTTCCCAGAAACAACTTTTTATCMAATAAGGATTAACTGAATATTATTCACTAAAATTGTCCTATATATATATTTGTATGAAACATAACATATGTGAAATCTAATTATACCTCCATTTATACATAAATTTAATGATATACATTTAAAAAAAAACTGAATTGTAGAAAATGTTGCTCACTTAAATTATTAAAGTAATGAATTTATATCAAAATGAAAGAATACATTTTTAAATATAGTTTTGAATTTTTCCTTAATTATTTCATGTGTGCAGTAATTTATATTATCTAATACTTGTTAAAAATACAAAAAAATGTAAATGTGTTATATATCCAGATATCTTATGATCTTGAAAGACTTGGACAAAACTACATTTGTTATTAACATGATTATTTCCCTACAAGCAGTGCTTGATTTGGATGACAGATAATTTCACACAAAATTAACCTTAACATTACCATAAGGACTTCACCCCCCACCTCATTAGAATTCACATCAAAACATTACATTTGTGAAACAAATATAAATGATATAGATACGGATATAAAGAAAATAAATAACACTTATTCATCAATTATTTTTAAAAACATAAAATTGATCAATACTTAATAAATAAGATCCATAAATATTAATAATGTTACAATATATTATTACAAGATTTTGTAGAGATAAGATATCTTAAGCATCATTTTTTTTTTATTCATAATAATATATTTAAAACAATTTTTGAGTAATATTTGTTATTATTTGTTAAATGAATATAATAAGACCTTATATTCATATTCATTATGTACTTATATTATACGTGTATATGTAACTTAAAATATTAATTTAAATAACACGTACCTA